ACACTCAGCAGGCAGGTCCTGGATCACACTCAGCTCTTTATGCCCCTCAGCTTCATTCAGGCCACACCATTATGGAATGCTTCTCCCCGTTGTCCACGCTACCTCACCAGCTTAGCTGCAAAGACGAACACCGCTGAGATTTAAAGGCTTCCCTCAGGGCTGGGGTTAAGGGAGATGGATCCCACATGACTAACTGCACAGTTTGAGTCCCAGACCTGGCATCTTGAGGCACACTGGGCAAGTCTGTGTGTATGCCCCAAAGTCTGAGAGATCAAGGAGAAGGGATTACAGCATGACCACACCCCAGTGGGAGACGTTTTCTCTCTCTGGCTAGTACATGTGCCCTGTGGCAAAATTAAACAGAAATGAAAGATTTATTCATGTGTTGTCTTTTCTATGACATCATTTTTTTAAAGAGAAATTTTTGCTAAAGGGCATGTGTACTCACCAGAGAGAGAGAGAGAGAGAGAGAGAGAGAGAGAGAGAGAGAGAAAGCGAGAAATCACACCCTGAGGGGATGGCCATTGTGCAATCCCTTCTCCTCTATTCTCCTCTTGGGAACTTGGGCACGCACGTACACATGCCCGGCATGAGTTTTAAATCTCTAGGTCCAGGACTCAAACTGTGGTTGACCATGTGAGAGTCCAGCGAGGTAACCATTACTCCATCTGCTGGTCCCCATCGATGACATCTTTTAAGTCCCTTCTTGAGTGTCCCTGCTCAACCCTGTAAGTTTCTGGTGTCATCGGGGACACTTGGTTCTGCCCATCTCTCTGCCTCCCTTCTCCCACCCATCACTTCTCCCTGGACTACTTGCAGAACTCGAGAGCCTCGTACTCATCTGTGTGTTCCTAGCATCTAGCAGCATACGGAAAATAGCGTGTACGTGCATAGTGAATGGGTAGAAGGAGAGAAACACCCATGCTGAATACAGAAGGAATGAAGGCGGTTTTTCTTTTGTAAATCATTTAGGTTGGGCTTCCTTAAACGAAGACGTACGTGTCAGAATAAGAAGGTGGTGATGGAGGAGCAGTGGTAGGGTCACTTCAGAGTTTCATTTTACTTCCCGGGTAGTCAGCCCCTGGAGAGTGCCTGCCTCTGTGGTGTGGGAGAGGCAAGTGCAAGTATCCTGGCATGTCACTACTTTCTTAAGCGTCCCCAGCGACGGCTCGTGCTTCTGTGTTTGGCATGACCTGTCTGAGCTAACTTACCTCTACAGCCAGCAGCGCTACAGTGTGACCTGGATTATCTAGTCCTTTTCTGTGTGGGACAAGGGTGCTTGGAAGACAGAGGGAAGGGGAAATTCGGGCTGCAGAATCCTGTATAATACCAAGGTGTTTTCTGGGCTCCTCTGGTCCTGGGAGCAAGTGCCTGCGCAGTGGTTGGTACTGTCGGTGTGGATCATATCCGCTCTAGCATTCCTACCCATCACTGGAGCTCTCGCAGCTTCTAGAGTCTTCCAGAGACTATTGTCCTTACCCCATTACGCTGGGCAGTTTGTCAGAAAGTCTATCCTTGCCTTTCAGGCCTAGCTCAACTCTGACAGGTTGACATCTTATAGCTAACTGGGATTAGAAACCATCTGATTTTACTTTGGTGAAGAGACAGTCAACCAAATACAAAAATCAGAACAGAAGTGTGCCACATTTGGACAGCACCTGGTCTTCCCATTGCTTTTGAATTTGTAACCTTGAGAACCATGGAGAGAAGTGCTAGGATGGGGCATGTGAAGAGTTGTAGGCTGGAAAACTGCATGCCCTACGTACCTTAATATCACTTCTTAGCCTTTAATCTGGAAGTTAACAAAGATTTGTCGTTCTCCCTAGGGCTTTCAATTTAGGATGAAATGATGGCTTATGCCAGAATAAGAAAAATTATGTTTACAAATGAGCAATTGTAGATTGTAATAAATAAGTATAATATTCCATAATTAGTTTTCCAAGATATCCCAGGTAATTTTGTCTTCACTGGGCCAAAAATAGAGAAGTACCAACAAAGGTTACTGTTCATTGATTCTTTTTTTTGGAGAGATTTTTGCTACAGGGCACATGCACTCACCAGAGAGACAGAGAGAGACAGAAAGCGAGAAATCACCGCCCAGGGGGA